TGTGGAAGATGAGACAGGTCTGTAAGAAAAAAAATCTAATGAAACAGCACATCATCTGGGCAGGAACGTAGAGAAGAACTCCCATGTGACTGCACAGGAGCTGCACAGCTCCACTATGCAGTGTTCATGAGCAAGCTGGGTCGACGTGGGAAACCTTGCCTGTCATCTGATCACAAAAGTCAACATCTGGAATATGAAAAACAGCATCTGGATAAGCCAGAGTGCCTTTTAAAATACATGCTGTGGACAGATTAGGTTAGTATTGCGCTTACAGTGGAAAGTTCAAGCATCCCACTGACAGAACACCTTGAGGACACGAGCGCTCAGATATTCTGCTTTGGGCTTCGTGTGGCAGCCAGTGGCACAGAAAACGCTGCACAGATGGGCAGGAGGATGCAAATCTCCAAAATGTCAGCAAATTATGGAAGCAAATGTCATTTAGTCAAACTGAACTTCTTTGGAGTTGCCCTCACAGTCCCATGACTCGGATGTCATTTCATGTCGTAGCCTAAAAATACAGCAGAACTTGAAGTGATCTGTGAGAAAGAGTGGATGGAAATTCCTAAATCGAGAATCAGGAGACTAAACTGTGATGTGTGCCAATGGGGAGTTACTAATGTGGAGCTTTTATGATTCTCAGCCGTTGCACAGACCATAATTATCAGGACACTCGGAGAAAGGTTAGATTTTAATCGTCTGATTTTACTTCACTTCAGAAGTCTTCCAGATGTTTGCCTCGGGCCGCCTGAACTTTTGCATACAATTTGGATCCCGTAAACAGTAGCCACCGTGTTGGGTATTAACCAGATATTGTTTCGTTAAATACCCTGTGAATGTCGGGCTAAGATCCAGTTACATGTGACCCCTTGGAAAAGAAAGTGGGTAAAGTAAATGAATGAGAGGATTTGGCAAAAGCAGAAAATGCAGGCTTTCTGGGACATGTCACATTTCTAATTTTCAGCACTAAATTTAGAAATTGTATTCTGAGAACCCTGGCAGAGGATTAGCCAGTGTCCACAGGGTAAATAACACCATTGGTTCTGGAAGCACAGTAATTAACACACTCAAATTTAATTGGGTCAAATCATTCTTCATACATCCAGAATTTATTATTGAGGATCTTTTTTTTTTTCTTCTCTCCTTTAATCCTGACGGTTTTGTGTTCATAAATTGTCCCAGTTTGATGAGACTGTTTTCCCCAAACATCCCATGACCTATATTTTGAAAAGGCGTCAATATGAGATGTGACCACTAGGTGGCAGTGTTGCTCTCAAATACGTTAGCACATACTGTGTAAGTGAGCGAGCTATTAGCAACTGGCATTTCCACTTAATTTTTTTTATAGATTATTTTTGTTTTGCTTTGTTAGATGGGGACAGACGGAAATAGACCATAAAGAGGGATCAGACGTAGCACACTGCTGGTTTGGGGTGTTTCATTCTTAAGGAACTGTTAATTTAATTCGATTTAAAGGCGCTGAAACAACGTGGTTTTACAAATAACGCTTTCCTTCGTGATTTAACGTGAAAACAAACCTAATAACGAATCAGCACAATACAGTACTGTGGAGTTACCCTGTAATTTAATGACATTTGAAGCTGCCAACATGCAAAATATTTCTCTTCTCAGTTAATTACTTCAATTCTTTTGTCATCTGCTCAGTTCTGAGACTCGACTGTGTGTTTAGCTGTGAACAGCTGTTGGTGTGTGCATTCAATACAGTTTTTTACAGGAGAACTCTGTCACATTTAGATCTGTTTTGCTGTCATTACTACTTTCTGACTTACTCACATCAACGTCTAATTCAGGTTATGGGGAACTCTCACTGCTCTTAAAGCTCTAGTATGTTCATCTTAGTATCAGATTGCTTCGTACTAAACAAAAACGGACGCCTCTTGAAAGCCCTTTTATGTTTTTGCAGCTTCATCCAGACACTAGCGGCTGAAAATGTCCGCATGTTGGGGCCCTGTTGACTTTTTTCCACTCTGTTTTTTGCAAGTTTGGCGTCTCAAATTAAAGTCGAGCCCCTGTTTTTGTCCACAGGTATACTGATTCCTCTGTGTGAATCTGGGACGTGCACGCTCAGGGAAGCCATCATCATCGGCAGCATACTGACAAAGTGCTCGATCCCCGTGCTCCACTCCAGGTGAGCTCTCCTCTCAGTGACGCACAGATGTCAGCGTCTCGACAAAGGCTTCAGCCAGCTGTCCTGAAAAGTTCTGCACTGTGTGATCCAGACCGGTTAAAGCAGCTTGCATAACAATCTTTATTGTCTTTCAGCGCTGCGATGCTTAAGTTGGCAGAGATGGAGTACAACGGTGCCAACAGCATTTTTCTGCGCCTCTTGCTCGACAAGAAGTACGCCCTGCCTTTCCGTGTCCTGGATGCCTTGGTGGCCCACTTCCTGTCCTTCCGCAGTGAAAAACGTGTGCTTCCCGTGCTGTGGCATCAGAGTTTGCTCACCCTGGCTCAGCGCTACAAGGCCGACCTGGCCTCCGAACAGAAGGCGGCTCTGCTGGAGCTGCTCAAGATACAAACGCACCCTCAGATCTCTGCAGAGGTTCGCAGGGAGCTACAGAACTCAGAGTCGAGGGATATCGAAGTCGGGCTCCCTGCTACGGTTGAAATGGACTGAGTCAGTTTGCTCTGATGCATCTTCCTCTTTGTTCATGTTTTCTCAGCATGAATAGAATTTTCAGTGAATCTTACTTCCTTTTTCTTCCAGTCCTGTTAAAGGGGACTTTCAGAGATCACAGTGACTCATTGCAGTGTGTCAGAGCTGCACTTCTGTTCCCTGCCTGGACGGGTCTGCACATTAAAAGACGCACATCGGTTGTGTTGTAGCTCATGTGATGACCTATCATAAACCTCAGAGCCGTTTCCGTGCAGCTGCAGTGCATTTGGTTGCTTTGTGAGGCAAAGAGTGAGTTTTATGTACATTTGATTGAGAACAAGTTTGTCGTTTTGAATCACTTTGGATTAAATACAAACTGTAATCCTGTGAAGTTGGTCACTGATTTCCATTCATTGTGTTCACCAGTTAAAAAGATACGCGAGATGGTAAAAGAAAGATAACAGACTGTAATGTGTTCATCCCGAGGCTGGATTAGCAACCAGACACGGTTCATCCGACAACACTGGTTTTGGGAACTTTGGTTAGTTATAAGTCATTTGCATCACTAAAGTATAGTATTAGCTGCATTATTAATGAATTATCTGACCATATCTATACAGTTTCAGGGGCTCTACACTGTCCACATATGGAAGATATTTCAAAATAAAGTTCCGTTTACCAAATACCCCCAAACTGGGACGCGTTACGTGTTGTTTCCACACAGACGGTCTGGTTGCAGGACTTAGTGGGAACTTGGTGACAGCAGGCTTCATGTTCAGAGGCCAGCAGGTGGGGGTCAGCAGATTTTTGTCAGGGGCCCCTTAACAGGTTAATCCAGTTATGGATGATTAGTAGCACAGCCTGTCAGGCTTTTAATATGTTTACCTGCCCGGAAGCACATTTTGGTCGACCTGTCATGCATTGTGTCGACAACAGAGATTCAAACTGCAAGTAAAACCAATAATTCACCCAAAAAATCTCCAAACCAGGAGGAGACAATTTCCCTCTGTTTGTTAAAAAGTTTTATTCTGTGTGAAACATACAGGTTCAAAAACAATCGCTCAAATCTCTCATTAACTGCAGTGTAGGGAATACTTGGATCGTACCCATTTTATCTGTATGCATATCATGCATCAGTGGTTACAGTCTGGTCTTCTGGGCTCGTGTGTCCATTTAGGTACAAAAAAATAATAGGTAACAATGTGATAGAATTATTACCTAGTAAATAAAATTGTGAAATATTGTTCACACTGAACAAAAGACAAGAAACAAACTGGGGAGGTTTCATGGTCATCACTGCTCGTTGTTCAGTGGCTCTTGCATTCACCACATTTTTTATTCCTGTCTGTGCTCTCAAGGTTTATACAGAGTGGCTACGGGGCTAATGTACAGAGTATTTTATTCTTAAAACAGGTGAAAATGTCTCTCTCTTTTTTTTGTCTGGCTATTGACAAAATTTTCAGATTTAGGCAGTAATAACAAGAGACACCCAAATATCCTGCTGTAAAAAAAACAACAAAAACATTTGCTCCAATGTATTAACAAAATGAAACAAGAATTTTGAACCTCACTTTATCCAACGATTAGATTTCTGCTCTGGACACTTTTACACATTTGCTCATTTTGATGAAATGGTGCAGCACTTTAAACATACAATTTCAGAAAACGTGTAATAAAAAAAAGAAGTCATAACATTGTAAGGTCCTAGAACTACACAGGTAAATTGGCATAATTAATAACTTTGTGTAAACTTGGTGTTGATTAAGTGAATTTATATTTTAAAAAATATTGTATCATGTTAATTCCAATATTTAAATCACTAAGTTAATTTGAATAATTATCAAAACTGTAAGGGGTTACCTTAGTATTTAGCTACTGTAGATATAATTTTATCTTAATATTTAAATTAGTGAAGTAATTGTGCCTAAATAATCATAATGTAGGGGGTCAACCTGTTTGAATTTTTAGTCATGTTGTTTAACTTTACCTTAATTTTGGTTGGGATATGGTTTTTGGTTTGTCTGTTTTATTACAACAACAACAACAACAACAACAACATAATAATAATAATAACACAATAATAATAACAATAACAACAATAACAATAATAAAAATAATAATAATCCAGTTGGACGTTTTAAATGTTGTTTGGCAGTTGTTTTTAATGATTAATTAATAAAAGGTTTAAACCCAAACCAGTCCTTTGTTTCTTGTAGGACACTTTACGACCAGGCAACATGCGCTCGTGACCTCCCGCAGGCCAGGTAGCTAAGCTAGCTAACGTTAGCGAAAGCGGACATCTTGAATGCTAACAGCTAGCATAAGCCCAGAGGTTATTCGGTGCTAATTGATTTAACTTTGTCTTTGGCTGGCTGTTAACGTGAAGATGTTCGGCTTTAAAGTGAGGGTTACAACTACGGTTCCCCGGACGGGCAGCGACCCCTCGGTGACCGGAGACCCCAGGGTGCTGCACTACCTGCGGGCCCTGGAGAAGACCCGCCCGGTGACCTGCTACTTTGGCGGGCTTCAGACGGACATCCGGCCGGACATGAGGAGGAGGCTGACGCTGTGGATGTTACAGGTACGGACGTTATTCAGGCTGCCCCGAAATGTGAGTCCCTTCAATAGTTTAAATCAAACTGTGTGTCAGGTGTGTGAGGAGCAGAAGTGTGAGGAGGAGGTGTTTCCTCAGGCGGTCCGCTACCTGGACTCCTACCTGAGCCGCTTTGTCATCGAGAAGGTCCACCTGCAGCATTTAGGGACAGTTTGTCTGCTCCTGGCGTCCAAGATGAGAGAATGCGTCCACCTGTCCGCTGACAAGCTGCACATCTACACAGACGGCTCCATTCCGGCCTCAGACATCCTGGTAAGTCCACTATGTGTGAGGGACACTGTCATAGGACTAAGTTTAGTGAATAAACTGTCAGAGAAATGTCTGTCAGTGTTTCTCAAAGCCCAAGATGACATCCTCACATGTCTTCTTTTATCAACAACCCAAGGATGTTCAGTTTCAGAGTAAAGAAACCCAAAGGTGTTCAAGTTTAAGAACATCCATCCATCATCTCTACACCTTAATCCTCACTAGGGTCACGGGGGCTGGAGTCTATCCCAGCTGACTCAGGGTGAAGGCAGGTTCACCTGGACAGGTAACCAGTCTATCACAGGGCCACACTTAGAGACAGACAACCAAGCACACTCACATTCACACCTACGGACAATTTACAATCACCAATTAACATGTTTCTGGACTGTGGGAGGAAGCCGGAGAACCCGGAGAGAACCCACGCTGCACGGGGAGAACATGGAGACTCCACGCAGGAAGATCCTGGGTGTCCTCACTGGGACGCCAACCGGCGACCTTCTAGCTGTGAGGCAACAGTGCTAACCACCTGCACCACCTTGCAGCAGTTTCAGAACTTAAAATCAGGATTTTGACAATTTTATATCTTAAAAAAACAAACAAACCAATTAATTGATCATCAGAATTGTTGATGATAAATTGATTAATCATCACAGCTCAAGGATCTAATCATGTTAATCCTGCTTTCTGTTACTGTGACGTCTCTTCACAATCCACCCAGACGACTTCGGCAAGTTCAGCAGCACTTTGAATCAATGGAGGTTTGAAGTTTTATAAATATAACAACCTCTGACAGAGTGGTTTCCCTCAGATGAATCATATGACAGCTGGGAGCTGAAAACAGAAAACAGACTCATCATGTTATTTTTTTTCACAGAAACAGGCTGTATGTTTTTTAGACTATTCTCGTAGTTTAATCGGAGCAGCTGGACTCGCTTGAAGACGTTTCACCTCCAGCCTCCTTCAGGATAGAAGTATCTGGAACTAGTCAGTCAGAGCTGATGACGCCTCTTGGATGAGAGGTCGATTAATCTACCAGAATAACCACGACCTGGATGACTGAGGATCTTCCCAGACATGCTACTTCCCTTGACTATTACTGACTCCTTTCACCTCTACAGCCTTCCTCCAGGTGTTCTAATAAAAGAACCAGGGAGGGGATATTACAGCTTTATTAAACAGGTCACGACACTGAGGCTGTCTGTGTAGAGGCAGATACAGAAATAGTTTCCAGGGGCGCCGCTGTAGCTCACCTGGTTGGGCTGGTGACCCATGTACAGAAAGTAGCTCACCTGGTTTAGCTGGTGACCCATGTACAGGGGCTGAAGTCCCCGATGCAGCGGCCATGGGTTCGGATCCCGCTCATGGCTCTCTGCTGCAACCCCTTCCCCCACTTTCCTGTCTCTCTCTTGACTGCCCGGTCTAATAAAGGCCAGAAAATACCTTTAAAAAAAGAAATAGTTTCCAGAATATTTGGTCAACGTCCACACTGAATGAAACGTCGCTGTTCTCTGAAAACCAAACAGTTTAATATTTAACTGAACAGACGTATTTGGTTTTTAATGTGAAATGTTTTTAAAATAAACACAACAAATAAAAATGGCATTGGGACCCTTAATCAGTCACATTCTCTGGAGATAATCGGCGTGACTGAGCTCAGTTTGGAGCCCTTAATGAGACTTCTACACGTGTTTGGCTCTAATTGAGGAAACTGCTTTGCTTCTCATAGGTCTGATGGTTTCGGCTCTTCTTACGCCTTTAGATGTGTCTGATCTGTTGTCCTCATTCATTCTTAGTGCTTTAGTGTGAAGCTTGTGGGTCATTGCCCTGCTGGAGGAGCTGAGATAGAGATCTCTGAGTCACGGCAGTGTGTCTCGTCCCACAACATCGCTGCCCTGAAACAGCCTCATAACCGAACCTCCTCCATGTTCCACTGTGGGAATGCAGAGCTGGTGTGACTCAGCAATAAGCTCTAATTTTGTGTCATCTTTCCAAAGGACGTTCTTCTAGAAACGTTTCACAACATACGTTTTAGCAGTTTCCAGTCTGGCTTTTTTCTCTTCCGAAAGTGGAGTCTTTCATTTAGAGAGAACTTTGATGTTGGAGGTCAGCTTGTGTCTGTTCTCCTTTGTTCTTCTTTTTCTATTTCAACGATCTTTTAGTTGAATCCGGGGGGAAACTGTCCTCTTCCACCAGGGTCCCATGAGCCGTAGACTTTCTAATCGTATTAGCAGCTGTGGTCACAGGAGCATCAGGCTGCTTGTAAGTCAGTTTTGTTGCCTTGAACTTGACCGTGCTTCTTCATCTTTTTATGACAACTTCCTACTTTTCTTTCTCAAACCACCGGCTCACTGAGCGCAGTTTTCCATTTAAACAGGACGACAGCACAAATGATTAAAAGATTCAACAACTGGAGACAAAGGTCTGCTTGAAATATCAGTAAACTTCACTCATCCTGAATACTTCTCATGGAATCATTTTGGAAGATGCTTGCAGATTAAGCAAGAATTCAGCCCTTTTTCACATGCGGTTTAATTCTATGGCCAACCAGAGGCAGGCAGGTATGCATGACTAAAGAGCTTTAAATTTCAACAAGCTTGAGACGGAACAGAGTGTTGATTCAGTGAGGGGGTAAGGGAACCAACACGTCTTTATGAGTGTTCCTGCAGTGGGATTTTGATGGTGGATTGGTTTAGAGGAATGTGTGTGTGTGTGTGTGTGTGTTGCAGCAGTGGGAGGTGGCAGTGCTGTCCAGGTTAGACTGGTGTCTGGCCTCCGTGGTACCCTCTGACTTCCTGGAGCCAATTCTTCACGCTCTCCCCTTTGTTCCGGCCTTCCATCTCAACACCATGCGCAGGCATGTTCACTCCTACGTTGCCCTGGCAGCCATGGGTAAGTTACATAACTGGGGTTCCCTACACATGAGATGTTTTCCTCAAATAAAATACAAAAGCACGGCATTAAAAATCATCCTGATAAAGTGAAAGTACAGAAGTATTAGTAGAAAATAAAGTAGAAAAATGTGGTTGAAGTATTTTAAAAGTACTGCTTTTGACCCTCTGACTGATATATTATCCTGTGTGGCATCTTTGGAATAACAATAGTGAGTCAGCAGCATGTTGTAGCTGCTGCATGTGCTGCTACTTTCAACTCTAGTGTACAGCTTTATTTATATATAGGGATATATACGAGGCAGCAGATGAGTCAAATCTGATGGATTATGAGACATTAATGGGAGAGAAAATGTTTGGATGGAAGTGTTTTTTTAGCAAAGTCATTACAAACTCATAGACGTCAATATTTTCCTCTGACATGTGGTGGAGAGGTTCAGTACGACGTGGAAGTCCTCATAGAAAGTAAATCTAAATTGTTCTGCGGTTGAGTAACTGCACTGATTGACTTTCCCGCCACTGGAAACCAGTATGCAACAGGAGTGGATGACATATTAAATAATTTCTGTTGTTAATAATAAACTCTTTTATCATCCCGCGCAATAAGAATAGCGCTTTTATGTCCCTTGTTGCTAAACCTGTGATAACATTGTCTTACGTAACGAGCGCTAAATGTCGCTGTGAAATCAAAGCACTTTGGAAGCGGCGAACAATGGGCGCGAAACAGCCGTAACTTTGATTGCGATGTGTCAGCAGTTCATTTTGGAGACAGAGAGCTGAGTTTGTGTAATCCCGCATTGTCTGCTATGAAAAGACCTGCGTCCGACTATTCAGCTGGCTGATTTCCCACGAATCTCTGTGATGTTGCCCGCGGCAACAGGTCACAGGGATGCAGCCAGTCAGTCAGCTAGGGCCGCTTCAGACACACTATAACATTACAGACCATAAAAATTAGGAGGATTCCCGGCTGTCGGCGTTTTAACCCGTTCGAGAAGGGACTGAATGGCTTTTTGTCTCAGCGTTTCTCCTGCCTGCAGCAATCAGGGTATCAGATGATCAGGTTTTGGGAAATGTCTGCTTTTAAGCACTGGGGTGTGTCTACGAGGGGGGGCGTCCGTCTGATTGTCTACCACTGAGCCTTTACTGACTTTTTCACTCCTGTGTCCACAAACTAAATATTAAAGTGTTCGTCATGATGAGGAGATTCAGAGAACATGTTCTTTATCTCCAGACTACAGGTTCTCAGTCTTCCTCCCCTCCACTCTTACATGCGCCTGTGTGACCATTGCCATACAGAGGCTCCGGTTGGTGGACGCTGCCGCCTCCCCAGACTCAGTGATGAGGTTTTTGGCCAACCTTTTGGCCGCTGATCTGGTAAGGCTAATGTTTAACTGACATTTTCAAACAGTATCTCTTTTGACTTTGCCCCATTGTCAACAGTGACTGCTATGTTTGCCATCTTCTCTGGAAGCACCCCTGATCGACCTGAACGGTCTGAGGAAAAGTACAAACAAACTGTAAAATGCTAATTTAGGAGAGCATCTGTGCAAAACGTTGAAACGTTTGGTCTGCGAGGTATTTGTGCAGACGCCTCTGTACTGACAAACTCAAGGATTGTTTCCCTTTGCAATCTGGCCCTGAACAGAGCACAGCCTTCCGCTGCTACGAGCAGCTCGGGAGTGCGTTAGGGCTCGTCCTGCCCTCCTGCTCCCATGATGGCGTTAGCAGATCGGAGGCCCACAGCTCGGGGATCAGCTGCGCCCCTGCTGACATTCAGGATGCTGAATCGACACCGGTGTAACCTCCTCAGGAAATCAAGCTTAAGCACTACGCCCTGCCGTGAAAGGTCTGAGTGAACGATAAGTTTACATTCATGAGACGGAACAAGAGGCCCGAGTGAAATCCTCCTCAGTCTCAGTTGGTTTTTGCATGTTTAAAAAAAAAAAAATCTGTTCTGTTCCTGTCTAAAATATTTGGCAATTACAGAAAAGCAGGTTTAAGAGTTATAACTAACTGTGCTTTTCATTGTTACTTGAACTTTTCCAGTGAGTTGATCGCAGTGTTTGCACATTTTCATTGCACTATTTTCTTTTCATTAAATGATTTGAATTTCTCTGGACTTTGGTGTAAATGTTCCACTTGTATGGACGGTTGTGATAAGTTCAAATGGATGTTTTCTGCATGGTTTCAACAGCACTGACCACAAATCAATCCTGTTGAACTTAAAACACTTGTATGTAGGCCACTAAAAACATTAGCCAGCACTTGTTCTTTTTTTTTTTTTTTTTATTGATTTCCTCATCCCAGTCACAACAACATGGCAGATCACAGTCATACAGATGATAAGCCAGTTACTTTGGCAAATAGTTTTGTTGCAGTTGTAAAAAAAAAAAAAAAGAAAAAAGAAAACGTGAACTGAAACCTGAATACTGCAACTTCTGGGATAAGGAAAAGTGAGAGGCAGAAACAATGATGAAATGCCCAAATACACATTAAATTACAGAAAAAATTCAACATATTCCCAAAGGCTGACTTCATATTTTCCCTGTCACACTTCAGTAATAAATGATGAGCACTCAGTAACGGTAGAGCTCAGTCCATTATACGAGCCGCAAGAGTCCAAACATGTCGAGAACTTCCAGTTAAAATGAGAGAATTTACCTTTAAATTAATGATTCAAATGGCAGCTGACAGATAAATTGTTTGATTACCAGGTTTCGATGGCCGGTCAGGACCCCTTAGGCTAGCTAACTTCAGTGTGCTGCAAAAAAAAACATCCTGGTGCAGCTTTTTGTGAGCACCAGGGGGTTTTGCGTAAAGCAGGATAACCAAGTCAGCCATTATGAGTTGGCTGACCTTATCTGGCTTTGTAAAGTACTGCACCACCCCCCAGTAATCCAGGATTGATCTTAAAAACTCAGTTTAAATATACAAGAGCACACAGAAGCTAGCTATCGAAACAGAACGATTGCGCGACCCAAAGGACCAGCGTGTACGATTCAGTGGCATCTCGAGGTGAGGCTGCACATCACAGCCGACTGAATGCCCCTCCCTTTCCAAACACGAACCCATTGTGGCTGTCACTTCTACGCAAAAATGCAAAAGGTCCTCTGTAGAGGCAGCGCTTGGTCTGCTGTGGAAAGATGGCGGCGCTGCACGGCGGGCTCTGCAACCACGAATGTATGGGTCGTAATCAGAAAGTAGTATAAGGACAACTACACGTCCATGTTATCGAAAGCATAACCCTAAATCCTACACGCTGGTCCTTTAATGAGCCCAACCTTTCACGTGAAGCTGCCACCTGGTTACATAGAGTCACTGGCCACCTGTGCACTCATTAGGCTTAAGAGCAAAAGCCGGTTCTGCTGGTTCAGCTTGTTTTGAGTCATGATTATTATTCAAGTCATTATCCAAACATAGAACAAGTCATTTCAGGAATACAACAATGAGATAAACTCTCTCTTTGAGAGCTGAAGATCATGTTACAAACATCTTCATCAGGCACTTCTTGCTGGTTCTTAAAGAGAAGCAAAAAGATTTGCTCTTTGGTATCCATGTAAGGTCGGTTCCCCACATCCCAGAACACAGAAAGGACTGTCGTGTACGGTAAAAGTGAAAGCCATCCTAACGCTGAGCCTGTGTTTACTGGTGTTATCCTAAATAAACACGATGATGACAAAGCTAGAATCCAAACAGAGATAGTCATGAACCTTTCAGACTGCTCCGTCTACAATATGAGAACCTGACTGTGTGGAATGAAGCGATCCTGCTGTTCTACACCTGAAGCTGTGTTCACACATCAGTCCTACTGGGAATGTTTCCTACCTGACTGTCACTGAAGTAACATGTTCTCCAAACTCAAACCAGCGTTTTGGCTTTAATGTCAATTCTCTCATTCACCACACGTTTGATCAGAAGCTCTCACACTAAATATTCGAGCTCCAGATTGACCACAAGCATCTCTCTCATCCTGAGAATCTTTGAAATGGTTTTCACTCAGCTACTCTTTACTTTTGTGCCATCTGATGATTTTTTTTTAGCCTCTTTTAACTCCAACTGAGATGAAAATCAATCTAATTACCTTATTTTACAATCAATCACCATCTAAAATACAATCTCCTGGTTAACAGCAAGTCTCCTCCCTTTTTGGTACTGTGTAATTCCTGAAGTTAGTCAAAATGATCACCTCTACAGTGTGCTGGTATTTTCACAGAATGCACTTTGGCTCTCATTTCTTCAGTAGTTTACAGTAATTTAAAAATTCAGAATGAAAAACAATAGTTTACACTGAGTCTCTCCAGATGACTGGTCTTCAGCTCGCTGCAGAGCCTCTTATAACCATGGCCTGCTTGTAAGCCTCTGTGACGTTATCACAGTCTGTTATGGAGAAGGCACTGTCAGCCACTCCAGACTCATAGCAGTTCCAGGACCTCAGCAGCCCATCAGCCAGGATCCTGTCCTCCTGGATGTCCAGCAGGTTGTCAGCAGAGACGCAGCCTCTCATGCTAGCTTTGGCTGGTTTATCCATTTGTGTCGGCGGTCTCACGTGGTCTGGAAGATCCAGCTGATCAAAGGACTCTGAAGACAGAATGCTGTCCTCACTGATGGCCCCGCTCGGTCTGGACCTGGTGCTGCTGCGCGGCAAAGAAGCTGCCAGCTGGTCCAGAGAGCCAAACTCCTGCAACCCACCTGAGGAGAACTTTCCATTCCGCTTGAGGATGCCCTTCCTGTAGGTTGGTGCAGAAGGGCACTCTTTAGTCGGTGGTACCCAGCCAGAGTCACTGTTCTCAGGAGAAGAGGAGTAATACCCCGATTCGTGCTCTGCAGGCTTCTTTAGGATACCTTTGCGAGGCAGCGATGCATCTGAAGGAGCATTAGCTGGTGCAGACAAGCCCAAAATATTCTGCGACTCCACTGAACCTGCAGCTGGGGTTTCAGTCATCGCCTTCTGTTTCACGCTGTTACGTCTCTTTAGAATACCCTTGGAGGGTCGAGTGTCCGTGCTGCCTTCATGGACCGTCTGGGAGACGTTGTTCTCCTTGCGTGACCTTCGCAGAGAGCGTTGTCGGACCACATCCCCTCCACCGCCCTGCGAGCGGAGCAGGCAGCGCATCTTGGAGCCGTTCTCCAGTAAAGGCCTGGATGTACGCCGCAGCCAACTGGCGACGCTGGCCAGCCCGGCGGGGTGTGACGTGGATGGAGACACCGGGGCAGGGCTCTGCTCCGCTGTGCTGCTCTTCCTCTCACACAGTAACGGCTGCTGGTAGCCCCAGTTGAGCCACCAGTGTCCAGCAATCTCCTCTATTGTGGCTCTGCGCTCAGGATTTACCATCAGCATCCATCGGATGAGTCCACATGCATCTGACAGAGAGCAGGAGGGGAACAAATCAGTACATTTGGTGTTCAGATAGGAACATTGAGCCTGGTCTCTCTCCCAGCTCATCACATATTGACCCCTTCACATCATATTCAAACACACTTCAGCACCAGTTTTTACACTAAGGGTAGTTTGATCGAGTCTGTTTAAAAATCTGTGAACACCAAGAGCAGACAACAGCTAAATGTTCTCTGCTCGTGTCATCACCGTCGTTCCTTTTTAGGCAGTTATTTTTGTGAAAGTGTGTATTTTAACCCAAACAATGATCTTTTCTGAAACTAAACCAAGTTGTTTGGTGCCTTAACCAAACAATGAGTAGACATGAAGGTTAAAAATGAGTGAAAATGGGACTTCTGGCAGAGAAAGGTCTGGTACTGGAGGCAAACCTCAGTCTCCTGCCCCGTCCACTCCAATGTCTTTCTGAGACTCAATTTAAGAAGTCTACACCTCTAATGATTGACTGAAACCAGCGATGCTAAATAACACTTTGTTCCTGTCTCTCAGATGCAAGCAGCTTTGACAAAACAACAGTATTTGACACTCTGGAAATGGGTTTAAAAATTAATATCTACCTCATAAAGAAAAGTACAAACACCAACATCAAGTTAATATCCTGAAGGCTCACCAGAGGGGTTGTTGGGCTTCCGGTAGTTTCCGGTGCTGATCTGCTGGACCAGTGTCTTGTGGCTGTTTCCATCAAACGGCATGGTGCCATGAACCAGCGTGTAGAGCAGCACCCCGAGCGACCAGGTGTCCACCTCCGGCCCGCGGTACGGCCGTCCGTTGACAATCTCTGGGGAGGCGTACAGAGGGCTGCCGCAGAAGGTCTGAAGATACTCGTCGCCCTGGTACAGGTTTGACAGTCCGAAGTCTGCAATCTGCCAGAACGAGAAGTTGAGGTCAAAGATCTAATGTCATGAAAACTTATTACTTTAGCATGTAGGAATTTATAATCCCAACTTTATACAGCACATTAAATGCCAAGAAAAAACCAGCAGGGAGCATAATTTTAATGCTGTGTGCAAACGGTCGTGATGCATACCTTCACGTTGCCGTTGCCGTCCAGTAAAATGTTCTCCAGTTTCAGGTCTCGGTGTACGATTCCATTCTAGGAGAAATAAAAGACATCAGTTTTGCATAGTGTTCCCTGCAAGGATGGGCTCCACCCAGACCATTACGCATCAGTTTACTGGAAGTTGTCTGTGTTACATAAAAGGATTAGTTTTTACTGGGTCATAACACATTCTTTTCCAAGTGAAGATTTTTTATTTTTTTCCTCCCCCTGGTACGTCAGCTACACCTCATTGTCCTGCGCTCTGTGGGGGGGCATGCCTTTGACTCAAATGAGTTTGCATTTGTTGTGCTTTCAAAAATGCAGGTCAGCCGCCGCTCGCGTACGCCCGCTTGTTGTAGCAACGGACGCGTTCTTTGTAGGCTGTGTTCTGTGGAATTCATTTATTGTCGAGACGCAATCATGAAGAAACCGTGGCATGCAAAACTCCAGAGTTCATGGCCCTGCCAAACGTAGGAGGTAAACGAGAACGTGGATGTTCTTTTCCCACTGCACAAGCATGGAAAGTAAAATATTTAACAAGACATCAGCGTTACATAAAGGTGAAATAAGACAGATGGGTAATACAGCATATGGCAGGAGGCAGTTCACTGGGTAAATATTGGCCAGCAAACATTTATAAATGCTGTGCAAAGTGCTGAACGGCCCCACTAAAATATAGTGTTCTCTGAATGTTGGTAATTACACAGCTCTGGACTTTGGGAACAACTGACTGCTGTGTGTGTGTCCAGTTCCTTCACACCCTCATTAAACTGTGAGGCCATGCGTGTGTGTGTGTGTGTGTGTGTGTGTTGGGATGGCTGGCCTTCAGCCTGACGCTAGCTCTGCACAGACCAACTGTTCATTTCCCCCTGCATCGCCCTCACAGCCTCCCCGTTCAGAGCGGCAGGCTGACAGTGAATAATGCCCATTATGTAACTTTAGAGGTGCCAGTGCCCTGGAAAAACATGGCCAGTTTGAGCCGTGCTCTGTGCCATTGTGCTCGATCCGACAGGGCTAATATACTGAACCATGAGACAACATTGTGCCCTAAGCAAACAGCTAAATAAGCTGCGAGGAGAGCGGGCTTACCTGATGGCAGTAGTGTACAGCTGACACGATCTGTCTGAAGAAGTGCCGGGCCTCCCGCTCAGAGATGTTCCCCTTGTCGCAGATGTAGTCGTACAGATCGCCCCGGCTGGCGTACTCCATCACAATCACAATTTTGTCCTTGTTTTCAAATACTGAAAGAAAAATAAAGCAGCACCCCTTTAATTCAAGGTTTCTCACCCTTTGCTGTACTTAAACATATGAAGAGTTCATTTGCAGATAACTCTGTCTTCTTCGCAAACCTTCAGAAAACCCACTTTTCCATCGTCTACCTGAGACAACATCAATCAAACTTCAGTTATCTCTGTTTTTGTCATTCCTACTGAGTCAAATCCCCTCAACCTCAGTTTGTTTGATTTTATCTCAAGCAAACAGAAAAACATGTTTTCTGAAAATCTACAGAAATGGAGTTTCCTGTTTTGGCAAATGAACTCTTCAGATACGACATGCTGCGCTCAAGACTATAAAAACTGTTTGTGCCACCCCTGATTAGGCCAAACGAGGCCCCATGATAACTATACAGCAAACAAACATGCACTTGAGTGGAGAAACACTGAACGATGAACGTCTCATCAGGCGTGAGGGCCACTGGAAGACACGAGGCTCAGCGCGTTACCCTGCAGGGCTGCCGGGGTACGGCACGGTATCGCTGCTTATGTAACCGAGCCCCGGGTTTCTGCACAAAGACTTGCGTGACCGAACCTCAAACACAGAGAGTGATTGAGAAACGCCTTTTTCCAGGTATCACGTTTCGCGCAGCGTGAGGCTCAGTCAGAGATGGAGACTCCTGTAAACTGTGAAGTTACACCCGAACAGTCGCCACGTTTTTGAGTCCTGTTGTTAGAAGGGAGAGACTCGGAACTTAAATAATCCTAAACGGGAGGATTTAGCAACACATGTCCAACGTCTCCCACTTAAAGCCAAGTATTTGTTTTTGTTGTTGTGCTTTCTGTTGGTCAGGTGTTGGGAAACTGGGTAACTGGTGGGGAAACGTACCAAAAACAGATCAGAGTCGTGATTCTACACATTAAAAGTTGTGCCACTGACTTGCAGTTTCTGGCTCTCTAAGTGATCTTTTTAGCACAAAATAACACGGCTGTCGACTTGCCTATCGGGACATGGACTGTACCTTCATATATGGTGATGATGTGCGGATGGCAAAGCGAGGACATGATCTCGATCTCTCGCCGAATGTGAACCAGGTCTTGCTCATCCTTGATCTTCTCCTTTCTGATTGACTTCACAGCAACCTTGTAGAGAAAGACAAAAAGAAAAGGAGGCATAATGAGAATGACTCTGGGACATAATCCACAGAATAAAGACACAAAACAGTGTTACAGGAGCTCAAGCTGAGATGAGTCACACAACAACTTTATCCACCATAAGCCGACATCGGTTATATCAAGTCCTTAAGTCAGAAGTTGCACAATCGATCTTAAAAACAATAATACAGTGGTGGGCAGCTGCTCCTTAATGAAGACACTAGATTAAAAAAAAACATCCACCAATAAGCTTTGGTTTATTGGGAATGGCTCGTCCAACTGTGAGAGTGGCGACAGGCACTGAACCGAAAACTCTGCTGTGCTGTCCCGAACAAGGCAGAGGGGACGCCGGGTCAAGTATTGTCTGCGGTAGAGAAACCCATTGTGTGCCGTTACGTCTGCAAGGCCCGTTTTAATGTGAACTGTTTGGGTCTGTATTCCCTTAACCGGCTTTCGACAAGGCCTTGTTCCCGTCTGGATGTTGTGTTTGCCGACGTGAGGCTCGGATGCCTGGGATTCCTGTGAGCGCCGAGTGCGTCACCAGTCTACCCCCCAGGCTGAAGGGGGTCCTGAGGCATCCCGTCGGTGGGGTGTCTCTGTTTGCTCTTGTCTCTCACCCTCAAGGCTACACAGACACTGGAGTGAACGCGGCGGCTCGTCGTCATATCAGTTTCAACACAGCGACGCTTCCCGTCATGAGTCACTGTCTGGGCTCGGATGCTCCTCCAGGTCTGCGACTGTGTTCACGCCGCGCAGACCTTTTCTTCCTGACTCTGCGAGCGGAGGTTTCCTGCGTTTGTTTGCGTAGCTGTCAGACAGGCTCAGCTCACACTCACGATGAGTTCACACCCCCGTGAGGTTCTGTGTGTGCAGGCTTTGTCAGCGGCCATCAGCACGGAGAGGCTGAAATCTGGGATATTTCACACATAGTTTCTGTACAAACACACTCACGACATATCCCTGCACTTGGAAACTCCTAAATGTTGTCATTAACCACTGGAAGGTAGTCCGGCCGCACCAGCTTCAAACTAAACTCTGTTATAACATTCTGAGTGAAACACTAATAAACCAAAGCCAATGGACGGCATGAGTAGTTTGTAAGCAAAGCCGAGGTGTGACTTAAACTGACATTCAGATTAGCCAACAGAGCAAACTGACAAAGCTAATTGTATCATGCTAAAGTTAGATTCTGGATTTTTGGGGCCAATACTGGATTTTAGGACGTACAAAGTTCTGGTTAGCAGCTGACTATGAAGACCACTGCTCAGCTGTATTAGTTACCGTAGTTTCTGGACTATAAGCCGCTAATTTTTTCACACACTTTGAACACTGCGGCTTAAACAACGATGCGGCTAATTTATGGATTTTTACAAATTTGCCTCAAGACCAAACGACGAAAGAGAGACTGAGGAAGTGATTCTGAGACTGTTCGACACTGAAGAAGACGACTTTAGTGGTTTTCAGGAGGAAGATGAAGATAGCGATCAGTGACTTTTCCTGGTAGGCTGCTGTAGTTTTTATTTTTTCAACCAGCCGTGTTACAGGAACTGTTCGGGAGCATTTACGTATCTGTATGTGTTACCGGTTTAATTAAAAGTTAAAAACATCTTTCTGTGTAAATATCTCATGTTACAACGTGGACACCTGCAGCTTAGAGACATGTGCGGCCTGTATATAAACACATTTTCTTTCTAAAGTTAGTGGCCTATATTCAGGTGCGCTCATAGTCTGGACATTACGGTACTCTGCTACATGTGCTGCAGATGGCAGCAGTTTAAGAGGAAGAACCAAAGAGGTAACATGTGTATTTGTACGACATATTCAATCTGACGCAGTGCATTTATCAAAAATAACACAATATAAACTCTGGGTCAGCTGTTCCCAATGATTAGTAAGTATGGATACTCATAAATAGCAAACTCCAACATGGCACTTTGTTTATTTATATTATATTTATGGCTGCATTCGAGCCAAAGTCGTGCATTTTGGAATTTAGTCGGGAATCGGTAGAGAGACTGCAATTAAGACAATATGTCATTAACGTCCGCCTCCATGAGAATAAAGCATCAGACTCTACTACATGGATCGGACTCACTAACTCTGAACCTCAGACACTAATTTACTCGTCATTTTTGTCAGTTGACTCACCTAACATAAAACTATTCGTCAACTCTTTCTGAGTTATCGTTTAAGCCTTTGTTTTCCTCTCTTTGACCATCAAACATTTACTGGTTCCAGCTTCTCACGTGCTGCTCATTTCTGCTTTTGCGATATCAGACCTCATAACTTTCAGCTTGTTAACTTGGCAGGACCAGTCATGGAGCTTGTTTCACAGCAGACATTGTGGCTTAACGAGGAATTAAAAACATTAATGATGGCTTAGTTCCATTAACTGTCCAAATAAGCTCCTCCAGTGAGCCAGTCTGCGCAATATCAGCAACTTAACCAAGTGGAGTCCAGCCTTCATTAATGCTGTTAAATCCAACCTGTGCTCTTTCTGCTGGAGTGGATCAGAACGTCTGTAGGGAACCAGGTCTGTTTGTCACGTTGGGCTTCAGGAGACTGCGACGGGCATTTTTATGTCTTATTTGGATGTTTTACAAAACAAACAAAAAAAGACCATTTAATTTGTGTGTTTTAATGTTTAGTAAATCCCCACGAAAGCAGCCAGCGTCAACAAAGAAGCTGCTTTCCACAGCAACCCAATCTGGGCACTTAATTGGGGCGTCCGTTCGGAAACACATGCAGCTTTCCCGTCATGCACCGAGTGGCATTTCAGCCCTGATGCACGCCGAACCCCCCTCACCTAAATGGGCTTATGTAATCAAACTTGTGCGCTGAGACAAAGGGAACAGCTGTAGCGCCACGGCACGCAAGATGAAGCCATCCTTTGTGCCGTGTCACTCCCTGTGTCGAGTTACGTATCCTCGTCCTGTTAACAGCAAATGAAAACAAAGCCAACGAATGTTTCAGCGCTCACTGCCCTTCGTCTGGTGTCAGTTCAAAACATATAGTCGGGCTAATCAGTGTTTTTAGAGATCTGAACACGGGTTTGAGGCGTGCTGGGTCAGGAAGCTGCCTGCAGGGATTCATCCCAGACACCGACTCATACTCTGTGAAAACAGAAGCGTGAGGCAGCAGCAAGTCACGGCAGGGCAGGGCGTGTGGACCAGGCCCAGCTCGTGTCGCTGCATGTTTACTGCAGGTACAGGAGGGGAATTCCTGCCGCTTACTTCCTCAACTTCAAAACACTTTCACTCATACCAAAGGTGAGCTTGTACCAAAGTGCAGTTCTGGAAAGTGTGACGGGGCAGTTAACCCACTTCTACTGATGAAGGGCGTCTCGAGTTTCTGTTTTATGTTGTTTTATGTTTTACACGTTTCCTAGTGTGACTGATGCATTGATCAAGAAACCAAAACCTGATTTAGCACAGCTGCAAATAATACATACAAACTTTAACATGTACCTAAAATACATTCAGGTGTTAGTTTAGTTCTGCTGAAACTGTTTTAGAAATGTGTTGATTCAACGTGTTGGCTTCAGTTTGTGCCGCTTTGCATTGTGTTGGAGTTTCTAATGTTTACCAGCTGGGAACACAACATAGACTGTAAAAAAACAACACGTTTAAAACAGTTTTAAAAGTCACATTTTTCAAACAGTTAACTGGTCTTTTACAGATTTCCCCCCTGATGTGTTCAAGTACACACCGTAACGCGTCAAATCACAGAAACACGTACTGACTTATATGTTAACTGAAAAAAAAAAGGGAAGAAACAGGCAGAAATGATATGTGTGTTGGTGATTTTGTCGTTACGACATTTAAACATAAGTTGTTGAAAATACATTTTTACAGGTTTTCCTTCTTTTGGTAAAGTACAGCTAGTACCTAATAAAATCATGGGGAAAAAAAACAATTCAATGTGCACATGAAAAAACTGTATTTCAACAAATAGTATCTTGTTCTGTACAATGTGTGAATTACACAGTTTTCCCTGCATTTAAACCACCTAAAAATATCATTGTTTTACACATATTTTCAGAGTTTTTGGAACATCTCACTTTTTTTTTTTAGGACAGACTTCTTTAAAAACTTTTTTTTTAACAGAGACTTATCGTGTCAGAGTAGTTTTGTGGTTTTGGGGTTTTCTTAAAATCTACTAAAAACACAAGTCTGGTGTTTGCCAACTCCTCTTTGTCCCCTTTAAAGGCTTATCTGGGTCCAGTCTGTTTTGAATACCTCCCATTTCCCCTTAGGTCATGGGCAACTGGAATTCACCTGAAAGGCAAGTTGCAGTTTCTCCTTTTATCAGCAACACAGAAAGCAAGTTACCCAACTTTCCTGTCTAAACTCCCCGTTGGGATCCCGCCTTTCCTTTATGCTCCACATATGCCAAATGGAAGCAATTATGTAAAACTTCCTGTGGAGTCTGCCTCAGATTGAAGCATTTTATTCTCAGCTGATTTTTCCTTGGTGGGTTTGGACCAGAGGCCAACTGCAAGACGTTGCATTTGGCACAACTTGAGCCCTTTATCAGGCAGAACACATGAGCTGTTGTTGTCCTCTGATAAAGCTGCTGAGAATAAAACGCTCAGATTATTACACGTGTGGTGAAACTGCTTATTCAACGATAAGAGTTTGTCAGATGTAATCAGATGACAAACATCTCAGCAGCAGCCAAACTTTACTGTTATTGTTTTACACCTAAACAAAGAGTTTCACTGTTTTAACATGAAGCCAGCGCTCTGAAGTCAAACTGAAATCCAAACCTGGACTACCTGTGCAGCCGGTGCGCCTCCTAAAAATAGCGCTTATCTCCAACCAACAGGTGGCCGCCGGTCCCACAGAACCCTGACCCGATGTGATCACCAAATAATCAATGATAAGCGGCATCGATCCTTACCAGTCTGCCGGATCTTTCCTTGGCTTTCTTCACCTTGCCGTAGGTGCCCTTCCCCAGGGTCTCCAGGAACTCGTACCTGTGCTTCAGGTTGTGTTTGTGGTGGTGTCTCTTCACGGCTTGCTTCTTCACGGGCACCGGGGCCGGAGCTTTTCCATCCGGTGAAGCTGCGCCGACAGTCGGCCTACAGCTGGACGCCAGAGCGGCACCGTGTGAGCCGTCCATGCCGCTTTGTTTAGTCTGTTTTCCTGTCGCTTACTTTGGGACGCAGGTGTTCAAATGCATTCCTTCGTGCGCAGCTGCCGCGTTGCCTTCAGGTACAAGTCAGGTAAAGACGTGAAGCGCCTCACCTTCCGCTGCCGGGCAGCTTTCTGCGGCTACAGCTGTGAGGACAGAAACCGAAACATGAAGCTCGAAACCGGGAGCGTGTCAGCTTGTCTCCGTCCAGCTCTGAGTCCAGGCAGCAGCAGGTACTCAGCATGCGGCGGAGCGGCGGAGCACCGCCCGCAGGATCACGTCAAAGAGTCGGGGGCGTTTCAGGTAGCAGAGGAGCGCTGGGTTTATTCACCGGGTGTTACCGGCGGACATAAGAACAGACTGTCTTCGTTTGTTTTTAACTGTAACCTGTTTGAGTTTGATTTAGTTTTCATCACTGCATTACCCTTTCATTTAATGTTGCCCAGTTGCAAATTTTCACCCCTCCACGTAAATCACATTTGAGTGATTGGTGGAACAGCCGGTGTGCACGGAGGGACAGAACAAACGCACCCTAAAAAGTGGGACAAACATGTTGAACAGAGGTGGAAATCAGATAAGTACTTAATTAACCTGACTGCCATTTGAGTTACTTGTACTGTAGGTGAATATTTTTATTTCAAGTTGTTTTTATTTATTTATGTTGCTTTTTTTTTCTTTCTTTCTTTTTTTTTTTTTCAATAAGACTTCAGTACGTTTTAGTTCTTCCGTGAATAATTTTGTGCCAGAAATGTCAGCCTACACTTCTTACCTCACTCCAAATGTTTCGACAGTTTTGCTGCTTTACAGAGTGTAACTTTTACATTTGTCCATATTCACTGTAATAAAATAAAAACCATTTCATGTACATTAAACAGCATATGAAATAGATTAAATAAGCTCTGTCTTGAATAACAGCAAAAGTGAAATGACACAAGCACATGAATGCATCACTGGCCTTAATATATTAACATGGAGGATTTTTATTTTATTTTTTATTTATTTTACCTACTTCATCCAGTTGTGAAAGGATCGTGTCCCTTTCCCTGATATTGTAAGACATCAAAAATAATATATACTTAATAATACACTGAGCAACAGTTAAAACAACTTACACTGAACTCATTGTGGGTTCCTTCAGTTTTAATGCACTTTGCTAACAATGCTCTTTGTCATGCAGCTTGTCGACTCATTTGTAATGGACTGTTGTTATGCTGCAGTATTGCTACTTTCTCTTATTATTAACATAAAATATACAACAAGAAACCCAAACAAGATAAAACTATGCTTCTGAAACTAAAACTATCAGTTTGTTCATCAGCAGTAACTCACCATTTGACACACTAACATGCAGTCACAGGGACCTTTTTCCTAATTGATGCTTTTGAAAATATCAGTTCCAACATGACTTACGGCATATCTATGCTCAGTGGATTATTAATGATTGGAAACTAACACAGCTGCAGACTTTGACTCTGACACACTTTAAGAAGCATCATGAAGGACAAAAAACAAACTTTCCTCCTCTTTGATATCCTCCAGTCCAGTCACATACTACACTACACTACTCTTCGCTTACTTCATGCAGCTACAGTGTGTTTGGTTATTTACCTGTTTGTTCAGTCTGAGGCCTGGTACGAGCAAGAGGTTTGAAAGAGTCGCGTTGTTACAGCTGTAGGCCACTAGAGATCAGCATCTAGTCACCATGTGCAAGAATGTGACTGGATTCAGTGGGTTTGACAGAAAGAACACCTAAAACTTTGTCTCCTCACAAGATACTCATCATATGAAGAATTTGGCTTCATTCAGTGTTTTACATCTCATTCCTGTTCAGATTTAATGTTCAGTCCTGGCTTTAAGCATGTGAACTACAACGTTAAATGAATGAAAGCTCGCCCAGTCAGGACATTCCTGATTTTCAGGAACATTCAGATTTAATACTCGGAGCCAAGTGATTGTTCCTTCACACTTTCTGTCTCAATTAACCTCTTCACCCGGCCGGAGCAGCGTTTTGTTTGCTGTTCCGTTTGCACAGTAATGCGCCAGAGATTCTTCACTCGAGCATGCAGAGGAACATTGTGCACAAAATAAACAATGAAAACAGACAAAGACAGTGCCTTCAGAGCCAAATATCACATTTGTTTCGCTATAGGGTGCAATCTGGGAGCAAAATGCATACAATCTGAACTTAGTTTGAAACAGTACAAAACATGTTTAATACATGATATTAATAGTCATGTTTTATGTTAGTTTAAGGGAGAAAACATGAATAAACACTGATCAGTCTGTCACTTATTTCTGTATTGAAAGAATATAAATGAATGAGACTTTTTGCACATTTTACATTCATTAAATCGAAGCATAGAAGCTTTGATAGCCAAATAGAAAGTCTGTCTGAGTTTGAGATAATGAAATTCAGTTTAGCTGCCAGAAGAGGGAGCACATTAGTAGCTGGCAGCCTTGACACCATCATGAAATGGTTCAATCTTATTTTCTGTCCAGTATGTCTCTGCTGCAATCTGTTAGTCCTTTAATCTGGTCTGTTTGCCATGTAGATTGATATATATCCATAATGTTTATTTTATATTTAATCAAGATGTGAAGAAATGTGGAAAATAAGAGTGAAATAGATAAACCACACGCTGGATACACTGCAGGTAGATCAGAGAGCTACGTTTCTTCTTTGAATGACAATTAGCCGTAGCAGTTTAATTTATATGTTAATCAGTGTGGACAGAACCAACTATAAGTCACGTCTTGTTCATTTCCATACGTGATCATACATGTGAATTAATAATACAGTTGAA